TTAATGCAAGGATGCCTTACACTCTCTCCACCCAAACCACTAACAAATGTAACCATCTCTCTGTTCACCCACATTCTGGCCTTGTTCAGCTTTCCCGGATTGGCTTTCCTCCAGTGACATCTCTCATTGATAGAAGATATAATTATCTTCATCTCTGAGAAGTTGTCACTGAGGGAAAGCAGGTCCTGCTTCATCGCTGTGACAAGCTCCACACCTTTGATGTTGCCAAGGTCGTTGCCGCCACAGTGGATGAGCAGGACATCCGGGACTGTTCTTCCTCTCAAGGACTGATAGAAAAAGGGAAGAAGGTTCCTCCACCTCAGACCACCCTTGCCAAACCACCACACACGGCAATTGAGACCCAGGTTGCTTCCCATGCTGTGTCTGGCTCTTTCTTCCCCACGTCGAACGTAGCTGCTCCCTATTATCCACACATTGGGACCTAGATAGAATAAAATATATTGAAAAAGGAAAAAAAAGTGGTTACTGGTGATCATCTTTTAGAAAAAGGCGAGTTGTCATATTGTTTTACGAAGACTACACAAGTTTAATGTTTATATTATATTACATATAACTCTATAATTGTATATAGAATCATGATGAAACTTTATAAGGATTAAGATTATATATTAATATTACATTAATGAATGCATGACTCATGACGATTGCATGCATTATTACGAAGCAGGATGTATTAAGTCACTGACTTTTTGTGATAAGGTCACAATCAACTGATTTCACTTATCAGATGTAAAAATAAGGTACATATGAAATTAAAGGGTATGCAATCAACAAATTACTGAAACAAAATGAATACAAATGCTTTTAAGAACTATACAGCACCTTGTCCAAGTATTGGCGGGCTGCCCACTCTCCTTCAGGATTGGATTGGATGTTGATCCGGCTATTTTTGCCATCTATAAATAAAGTACAAATGATTAGCTCTTCACGCCTCTTTAAAAATAATATGTGTTCTTGAAGATTCTGTATGCATCGTCGTTTACAATGGTAGGGACATTGCATTGGACATTTGTTGTGACAAAGATATGTCATTTTTAGTTTTTTCATCTCACATTTATAGATTTTAAATAAAAAATAAATAATAATTATAAATTCAAAGTCTGGTTTCTAGAAAGTTAGCAAATGCATACAGAGTTAACATTGCAGAACTGCTGGCATGCATACATTTCTAGCATTTTGGTTAACGATGAAAAGTATGGAAAACTACTGAGCAAACACCCAACATTAGCTTAGCCACAGTAGCGGTTGCTGTTGAGTAGTTTGGCTTATTTTACTATTTTATATGAGAACATGTTACATTAAATACAGACATTAAGGAGGCAGGTTACAAAATCAATATGTTTCCGTCTCTTACCTTTTGGAGCAAACTGTCAAAGTTGTTGATTCATGTGATGTGACACGTGCCGGGCGGCGGCGCGGTCCCGTGGGTTAGATGCGCGTTCATAATGCAGAGGGAAATAACTCTCAGAATAACGTTATTAGCACATTTTTACAACTTGAAGAACGAATGTTTTTAATAAGGGCTATATAGTGTTCATACTGGGTAGTTTATTTAGTTTAAAAAAAATTATCCAACGATTTACAGACCATTCTTTCCCCATGTAAGTCAATGGGAAAAAGTGTTTCCGGGCCTGGCAACCAAACGGAAGTGTAGTACCGCCGTTTGGCCAGCACGAATATTTTCATCTGAGTCCGGCGCACTTCCTGGGGGCTTGGGTCTACTCTCTGCCTGCAGATTGTCAGCTAAATGCTGCCGTGATTAAACACCATATCATGTTCCAAACCACTTCAAGGATTATTTCTGAAACAGTATGGAGCTCAAATGTTTTTTCTCTTGCCGGTTTAGCACAAGGTGAGTTCCTTTTTTTATTTCCTGCTTTTTTACACATATTCTCTCCAGTACAGCGTTAGTTCTGAGTGTTAGCGATGCTTGCTAATGTAAAAAAAGACCATATTACGTCCAAAACATGTCGCGCAATGTTTCTGATAGCAACGTTTCTTTAAAGCATTCTGCTGCAGTGTCTGGATACAACCTCTGGGGGCACCACAGTCAACATTCATTTATACACTAATGGCTACAATGTGCTTTGTGTACAGTCCATGAATATAATGACCTCCTCACCTGATGGACCAGCTGGGCGGCTGTGTCTCTGTGCCTGCTCCAGGGATCTCTTCATGGGATCCCGGATCAGTCCTGCTCCCCCTGGTCACCTCTGCTTCTGTCAGGGTTGCAGCAGGTGGAGAGCTCTCGGTTGCTATCGTAGGAATATTGGGATAGCTGCCAGGCTCAAGTGTATCTCCGTCTTCACCATGGCCTCTGGTAAAGTCCTCTGTGCTCAGTTTTTCCAGTTCGGGCATACTGAGAGCCCTGAGCTGCCGCACTCTGCTGCGGGGGAGCTTGCCGTGTTTCCTGCGCAGAACCTGAGGAGTGTGTGGAGCAGCCCTATCTTGAACTTGAGCATCAGGGTTGTCTTCTGACAGGGAGGCTGTGTTACGGCTCGAATATGGAAGCTTAATATTTATTAATGTAATATTAGATGGAGATTTACCAAGAAAAGGTGAGAAGGGTGTGGTAGGAATAAGATTCTCCACGTAAGGACTTAAACTCCTTTGACGTGCCCGACAGCCAATAGAATTAACCACGCCCATATAACCAGCAATCCTTTGGTTAAGAGAGGCTCTATATGCGTAGGACTGAATGTCAGTGCTTTTAGCCGCCGGCCTGTCAAAGTTAGCCAGGTTTTCAAAGGACTTTATCTTATGTCGGACAGAGAAGGGGTTGAAGTCTGCAGACATGGCAGCCTCTGTGGAGAGACTTCCCCTCTCTGGCGTCTTTATGGACAGTCTGGATGACTTTAAGCTCTCAGTCAACTCCCCTATAGCAATGGGTTTTGATCCATTACATGTTTCTTTAGTAGAACAAAGTGAATTCAACACAGTGTCACTGACCATGCCGCTTGTTTTGTCTACTGTGGAGTTGGCAGGAGGAAGCATGGCGGCTGATCTGGCATCTCTGTGTCGAGAGTGTTGAGAGTCTTCTGGGTTCACTGTTTCATGGTCTGCTACAACTGGTGCTGATGAACCAGATATGGGAGACAGTCGAACTTCAATAAACGTTCTCTGAGTGGCAGGAGGGGGTGTTTGGATGGGTGCTTTGGAGCCTGAATGGAGGTCCTTCTCTATAGCCAGCTCTTCAGGGTGCAGTGAGCTACCTGAAGACCCAGCTGTAACTTGCCCTCTGTCCATTACTTTGGGCAAATCATGGCAGCTGTATTTATCAGACTGGGTATATGTCTTTAAAGAGCTGGATATGGATGTTGCTGGTTGTAATTTTGAGTGGTTTAAGGGAGCTGGACTTTCGCTCTTGGTAGTTTTTTGTAGAGGCTCCTCCTGTGGTTTGATTTTGCTCTTAATACTAAGGCCTTTCAATTTGGGAGCACTAGTGCTTGCTCTGATTTGAGTTTTAAAGTTACTACTGCACATGGGGGGGTCTGAACTATCAAAGCCTTTAAGCCCAGAGGTGTTTTTAAGTACAGACATAGCATGAGGGTATGTTTTACACTCAAACAGCTTTTCTTTGTTTGTCATTGATGCTGGCACAGTTTTATTTGATCTGCATGAACCTGAGGTCTCCAATTCAATTGAAGGTAAATGTGGTGTTTGTGTATTTAAATGTTTAAATAAAACCGAGGTCAGCAAGGCATCTGGATGCAAGTGTTCGACGGTTCCCTGAATGTCACTGTGGTTATCTGCTGGGGGGGGGCAGCTGTAAGTGCTGAGTGTCCCTGGACTGGATGCCACACCTGCTTGAACTTTGTCACAAGGTTCAGTGGCACCTCTGATATGGCACTCTGTAGGAGTACGGTTGAATGGTTGGCATGGTGGCTGTGTAGAGGAGGCCCCTAACAGCTGAGAGAGCTGTGAGGACTGGCCTGAGTTGTCTTTGTCTGCCAGAGAGACATCAGCAGAGCCCTGCTGCACATCAAGGGTCTGATCCAGGTTTGTATTTGGACGGCTGGCATGCTGAGAAGTTGGAGACCACTTTGGTGACAGGCTTACATTACAGAGTCCATCAGAAGCAGGTTGCTGGGCATTGAATGAAAACAACTCCACTTCTTCCTCATCTGAGGAGGGCTCCAGAAGACTCCCACTACTGTCGGCCATCTTACTGACCATTACACTGTCGTCAGTGGTGGACGAATCACTGTCATCTCCTGTGGGGTACATATGCTTAGAACCAGCCTCAGGTGGTTCCAGGTGAGATAGGTGGTTCTCATGTGTTGTCTCCACAGGAGGCATGGCACCTTGTCCACTTCCTGCTTCTAAGATGCAACAGTCCTGGGGGAGCTGAATGATGGCTTCCTGTGACAGGGTGACTGTCTGTGGGCCTGAACAGCAGGATACAGGCTCATCAGGTGATGTTATGTAGGGGAATTTGTTGTGTGTATCACTGCGGGGGCTCACTTCTGATAAAATGTCATCGATATTGGTGATGGGTATTTGAACGTCATGGTCAGTTTGGGCTGTGTGGTTGGAATTCCCTGAATGTTCACTTAATGCTTGTCCTTTGCCAGATGTTCTCTGAACACATCTGGCTGGGTACAGAGTCGGGCCTCCATCACTGCTCCCTGATGACATCATCAAACTGGAAAGGCGACCTACAGCTGGGACCAGAAGTAAAATAAGGACTTAATGACAGTGAGTAAACGTTTTCGATATTAAGGTTTTTCTGAAATGGTAAATGGATTGCGCATTTTTGGAAACGCACACACACAAAAACTGGCCCTGACCTCTATACAGATTCATATTTCTAAACCAGAGCAATAACAAACACAATTCAACTTACAGTTGGGACATTTCTAGTTGTATGAAATCTTTGGCACACCATGTTTCTCTTACCTAGCGATGTATTCAAGCTAAGACGTATAGAACACAGTCACTACATACTATACTACGTTGCATCAGAGGTGTTATATTACGTCAGCAAAGACCAAATGGTGCAGTTAATGTCTATGGTTAGGAGAGAGAAATGTATTCAATAATTAGTTCAGAACATTTAGAATACTAGAGACATTGCTGTGGATGTAGTTCTTCTGGTGCTTTTTCTTACATAACACATCATGTTTTGAAAGATGCTTACACTGAACAAACTGAGACGTTGGCTTTAATCCAATCTATTATGTCAACAGATTTCACATAACTGTATTAAGTTAATTGAAAGCAATAATATTAAGTTGAACCTAATACAGTTATGTGAAATCTGATGACATAATACATTTAATTAAAGTCAACGTTTTCAGTATTTCAGTGCAGGAGAGTAAAGGAAAAACATTTAGCAAAAATAGAGACTCAAAAAGTTTCTCAGAGGATTGATACATTTCTTTGATCAAATATTTGATTTCTATTAAATGAAATAAAAGCCTTCGACAAGAATCCCAAACTTCTGTAATTAATTGATGGATGTTGAAAATGTTTACAAAAATATTTGATTCTAAATCTGCACCCCGAAGAGTAATGTGATACAACTCTCCACAGCAATGTCTATTCTAAGCTAAATTAAGATTCACACTACTTTACTATAAAACTACAAATAGATAGCATACAAGGAGTTCAACTAGAGGGTAGATATGGTACTGTTACCTAAAGGTAAAATTGTGTATATGATAGTCACCATTGATAGAAAGCCGGGAGCTGGCAGGTTGCTTTGGGGGAGTAAGTGAGGGAGGGTTGATCCTAAATCTTAGGTCGGCATAAGAGGGAAAGAAATGGCGCTCTATTCAAAGCAAACTGAGCAGCATTCTGGTGCTAAAAGCTTGCAAAAATGAAGCGTAATACAAATATAATGCATACAAATATACACCACATCACATGCAGGTGCAGGGAAAACAACATTGATGAAAATAATACGATTTTCTCTGCACAGATGTATTTAAAGTGAAATCAATTTAGCTCATCCCCTGGTCAGCAGATTGTTAACACTTCAGGTCTTGAAATGCTGCTTTTCCTTTCACCAGGGGGAGGGGCGTGGCAGAGTCCTGGTGTGATTGACAGCAGCTGGCAGGCTGAGCAAACATGCTTGCAATGTAGCATACAAGCCATGGATGGAGAGTGTGATGTTAGCATTTTTGCTGCATCTGGTTTCTGAGTCAAATGATTTAGAGTGTTGATGGAGCAGACCAAAAATATTAAAATTCATGTCATCCATCCATTGGCTACACTCACTTATCCCTGAGTACAACACAATCTCCACTGAGGCGGCAGGCTTGGCCCCTGAGATCACTTTCCACTTTCGAGTGATGAGCGTTTAAAACGATTCATCTAAAATCATGTTTATTGAGAAAGCTGTATGAGACAATGTACCAGTACACTAGCAGACCACATGACGCTGCATTGCATACTTTAGCCAGATTTGATAGACTTCCCCCACATCAGGAACGCTGCTACTTAAAAAGATCAGAATCAAGTTCTTACCTGAAACCGGTCTCTTAATTTCCAAAGACAGGGTAACTGGAAGGTTGTGCATGAGCTCACAGAGTTCCTCGTAAGTGGAGGAGCGCACCAGTTTCTCTCCAAATGAGACAATCTCATCTCCAGGACACAGCTTGCCTGTAGATTCCTGGATGTAGGATTAAAGGAAAGAGATTGAAAGTATGTAAGAGTAGCCTTTACATGGTTATTGTTTCATTGTAATCAATTTTATTTTAAAATCCAATCTCATGTCTGGTTGTGCTGTTCTCTCATGAGTGAGAGTAAAAAGCATGAAGACAACAAGATGCACGGACACTTTATAGCTCCGTAAACTTATGTTGAAGTTTATGCTAGTAAGGTTTATAAAAACAAAATAATACTTCCCTCTTTTCAAAGTATACAGCAAACAAAATATGCTGTGTTGTCAGGCTTTATTTACTGTTAATTACTTTGTCAAAAGTTATCACACATGCTGTGTGTGCTATTGCATACAGTATATGATCTGATCTATATATACAGTAAATTGGACCTATATGAAGATTAACCCACTCAGACGTACCCTCTCTGCGGCCCCCCCAGGCTTCAGCCCAGCAATAAGAACCTTCAGAGGGGAGGACATGATCTCCAGGTCCAGACCGAAGGACTCGTCCTCGCTCCTCCTCAGGCTGACCGTGTCGATGGTACAAACACCCACCAGCTCGCCGGCATCTCCCTTCTTACAGTGCTGATGGGGGACCAGCCCACCAGCAGTCTTGGGGTTTCTGGCCCCCAGTGGGGCAGAAGAAGGGGACTGGGCGGGTGCTATACCTGGGGGGGGCTCATCAGCTTTAGACCTCTGCTGCTGGGGCGGGCTGGGTGCTTCGATGCTCATCATACTCTTGACTCGTGTGATGGCTTTATGCTCGAGCTTGGGGGAGCGCTTTGACTCCAGCTGTACATCGTCTGGGTTTGTGTAGTTCTCACTATTGATGGTCAAATTAGTAAGCGTACAGATTGACCCCCCTGCTTTGCAGATAAGCATGAGGGGTGGCTCGGGACCAGGAGACTCAGACTTATTGGTGAGAGCTTCCTCACACTGTGAGAAACTGCCACAGAGAGGAGTGGTCACCTCGAGGCTTCCACACCTCTGCAGACCCCCATCATCCTCACTATTTCCATTTATATCCAACGATGATGCAGCAATTAAAACTGCTGAATCGCATTTGGAGATGTCAGATGCCTCGGCTTCACTGAAGGGAACAGATCTTGTTGTCCTGTGGAAGAGCGCAGTGCTCCTCGTGGTGATGGAGTCCTCTTCATCACTGAGCACATCCTCAAAGCACATGACCCGCCGCTGACGGAGGAGTGGGCTTCGCACTGAGGTGGGGCTGGAGACAGAGATGGGCTGACACACACCCTCCACATGGTGGTTCAGAGGAGCGGGGGACACACTCTCCACTTCTGTTAGAGAGAGGGTGAATGCTTAGAATAAGATGCAGCTAATGATATCAACAGAAATGAACCAATCGTTTCATTTCCAAATAAAAACAGACAACATGGTTTCATAAAGTATCAATTAAATCTACTGTACACATTTTTAATATAGCACACTATGTCTATATGTTCAGTAGATTGGTATATTGGAGAGTATTCAAATGTATTCGGTATATTTTATAATGTTTGGATACTCCTCTGAATATAAGTCTTTGTTTCTCTCTCTCTATCTATAAGGAACCGCAGTAAACAACAGGCGTTTCTATAGCAACACGTCATTTTTATGTTCACATTTTGAGAAACTGTTTGTGATAACCTCTGTAAAGAGCTGTCATATCTGCTCAATCAGGGGGAACAATGTCAAAGTTGACTGCTGCATGAGAGAAAACTAGATATTATAATGAACTGGGGACTGTACCATGACGCCGGGAAGAGTTGTCCTCCAGGGAGGTGCTGCAGCTCGGCTGGTGGAGCGCCTCCTCACTGTTGGAGGCCGTCAGCACGGACTCAGAAAGGAAGGAGTGGCTGGAGGCGTCCTGGGAGAAGTACTGAGACAACTCTGTCTCTGAGCTGAGAGAGCCCTGCTGCACAGGGTCAGCACAAGAGAAGGACATATAAAGGAAAAGGGAGATCGACATTACGAACTGAATATATTCAAAAGTACTTTTTGCTATTTGTACAAATAGTGTGTGTATCGGTTTTACTCCATTTCACTGATGTTGGTGTGAAAGAGATAGAAACATAGCATTCACCTGGGATTTAATAGAAACATCAAATGCATTTACTTAAAGTGGACCTATCATGCTATTTTTGAATAATATAGTGTAGGACCATACTTATATAAGGCATATTTATACTTTTTATTTTTCAAAATACCAAACAGATCATGCATTTTAGCCATTCCTCATTTTGCTCAATTTAACACTGTCTTTTCATGGGCTGATTCTGTGAGAACAGCACTATCTACAGGCCTGGCATATGTACTACAGCGTCTCCAGCGTTTTCGAACGGCAATGTCCGTGGCTGTCTCCTCCTGATTGGTGGAGTTGGCCCAATAGCCGTAGCACAACTTCTGTGACGTCATAGAAGTGTTCAAATCTGGATCAGTCTATATCAGATCCGTTGCAGCCACTTCATTAGAGATTTGGGTATAGAGGAAAATAGAGAGGGTTGTGCTTTCTGACACTTGGTGAGTTCCCTGGAACACCGGGGACACATATTCATGTATAAAAGACGTACAAAAGTGCATTTTGCATGATAGGTCCCCTTTACTTAATGTAGATGTTTTGATAATTTCATTCATTTCCTTATGCTGTCATTTCTGACCAGGAACACCATAGATGTTACAAAGTTGACTAAACCAGTCAACATTCTAAGAAAATGGGGATCAACAGTTATATATTTTCAAATGCCTACTGTGGAGGATATCATAAGACCTTTAAGCAATCAACTGTTAAACACAATATTTATGATTGATGAAAGTAGTAAATGGGTCAGATTTGTCCCGAATACGACAGGAGGGTAAATAAAAGCGTACTCTGCTGGCAGGCTCCAGGAACCTCTTCATGGTCCAGCTGAGGGCCGGGGAGCCGTCCCCCTGTCGCTCCTTCAGCGTGGGGCTGGGGCTCTTACAGGAAGGACCTGCAGACGATAGGAGGGACCGTTACACCCAGATTAGAACAGCAACCCTGAGCCCATCGGAGGCGTGCTGCTGAACTCTCGCTCGTATTGTAACACCGACGAGTAAATCAAAGAAGAGAAAGGACAAACGTAAATGCAGGTGAAGAGATATCAGACCTTGAGACTGAGATGAGGGTCTCTTTTTCATTTTGTCCCTGTTTGTGGATCGGGCTATCATCTGATCCATCTCCTGCTCTGATACCTGAGGAAAGGCAACAGAAGGCTTTATAACAACTGTACGACACTAATGAATACAGCGACGATGCCACCATATGGAAGGATAAATACAAATGTATGTAATTTATACGTATGTGTGTGTATAAAGCAAATTTAGCATGTAAGAAACATGTAGTCATGTGAAAGTGAGCTCTGCTTTAATTTTTTACAAGGAGAAACTGAAATAAAATGGTCTGACCAAAATTAGAATTTTGTCGAATCAATTATCTTCAAAAGGAACCACTCCCACGCTCCACTTAATCCGGACCTGACCTCGATTAAAAGTCAGTCACAGGACTTGACAATGGCTTTCCTTCTGCTGGAAATGAAGTGCACTGGTTTGTTTTTTAACATTCCACATAATTGATGTACTGGCCACCAGGGGGCCGTAGATTCACTTGGAACAAACACAAATTCCATGTATTGTATGTAATTATTAACAAATATACTAAGTCTGACATTTTCATTGACATTTTACAATCTTTCACGGAACACCCTCTAATAAGCTCACTAAACAAATATCAGTTCACAGAAATGTTATTTAATGTTTACAAGTGGCATGTTTGTATTGAACAGGTTATTTAACAGTGGAATAAAACTATTTTAAACTATTGGAATGCACGGAAAATGTGTGTGCATTGAGATTAACCATTGAGATGACATAAACATGAAGTCATGAACACTACCCAGACATTAGTTGTCTAACTTGAACCTAGCTAAGACACTTTTAGCCTGTCTCTGCTGACGCACAATAAGGGGAATGTCAACACAGACACCTGTCAACCCGCACTCTGCTGTTCCTCAGCGCCGCTCCCCCTCCCTCCCACTGAAATTCTGAATGAAAAGCGTATAGTAATCATATAACACGGAAGGGTCTGTGACAGTTTGTTTTCATCTGATTTCAAATAAACAAAGTCTTGGTTTTTAGAATATTAAACTTGTTTTGCCAAATTCAGATGATAAGCACAACTTTGAAGCTTTTAAAGGCATAATTACAAGCGGCAACTTAACGTCACAGCAGGCACAACAACAGCCGGTGTTTCTTGTGAGTATTTCCCCGGGAAACAAACACAATACACACAAATACGTCACAGATTATTTCGCGGTATTTGAAATCATGTACGCAGCTCGCGACGTAACTAGGAGTGTAGTGGACGGTATCAGTACTTTTATTTTTTATTATTAATTACGTTGTTTATAAATTAATCTGAGGGCCGCAAAAAGAGGAGGTGGGCAATTTGCCCATCCCTGCTCTAGTACATTTAATTTGACTTAAGTATAAGATCTGAGAACTTTTCCACCTCTGGTGTCTGTATAAATAGAAACATGCATCCTCTCACCTTGGGGTTGGGGTGCCTGCTGATGATGAGACTGACAAGTCCGGGGCCACACTCACTGAGGATGGCGTAGGCCTCGCTGAGAGCAGCGTGCCGCAGACTGACCGAGTCTACCTCCAGGATCTGATCTCCACGGCTGCACAGAGGAGCACACACACTTCCCTTTACAGCCGCAGCCTCAGTGCACACATACAGTACGCACATCATTCATGATCAGTAACTCGTATGATGTTTGGTATCTTTGCATCAAAGCAATTCCACATAAACTTCAGCTGCATCTGTAAATTAGTTTGCAATTCAAAGATGACTCAGTAGCTTTAACCTGAGCCTGCTGTCCATCTTGGCCACAGAACCCAGAGCCAGATTGTGGATGTAGATGCCAGGAGAAGAGTTCTCCAGGGTCAGACAGCAAACTCCAATCCCGAGACCAACAGCAGGCTCTGAAACATCATGATCCAGAAGAGAAAAGCAGTCAACATACACCATATATGCTTACAATACTTTTTGACAACAAGTGCAGCAACTATGCTACGCTGCTGCAAAGTTGGAGCAACAATTGCTATTCTATTCTCTATTCAATTATTACTAATATTAAAGGTGTTGCAGATCCAAACTGCATCACTTGGGTTACCATGAATACACTCAGAAAGTAAGAACAGTCCTCCAGATTGGACACTATGCCAATGAACAAAAAGTCTCAAAGTGTACAATTCTTTGTGCACGCTATTTTCAGAACGTTTTTAACAAATCATCCTCATGCAAAGTGGTATAAATGATGCCTATGAACATAACAAAGCCTTGTAAAAAAATAATTTCATAGTTTGGTGTGGGAGATCTTCCTTCTGTGACTGATTTGATGTTTGCATCTTTTTCTCTGTACAGCAGCTCTCTCCTCCATTCGTTCATGGTTTCTCCTACCACAGCCACGCAGATGATATGCAACTAGTTCTATCTTTCCCCGGTCTGAAACACAGCTGGCTGCATGAATCTCTGGGCCTTGTGGAAGTGCCTTTCATTCCAGGGAAGGACTTTCCTATCCATGACCTTTCTAAAACATCTGCACCTCTGCTGCCCGACTCAGCGCGGGTTCTGGTCCAGGCTCTTGTCATCTCACGCCTAGGTGAGATGACAAGTGTTCATACCACAGAACAATGTGGTATGTGTTCATTGGTATGAACACATACCCCCATTGGTATGAACACATACCAACGTTGAAATAAGCTCCCCATTGACGTCAGCACAGTAGAAACTCATGTGTTTCCACTGCACCTCGGCTAATATAAAAAACCTCTTATTTCTGTATGTAGCACTTACAGTCTACAACCAACAAGTTCATTAGCGTGCAGAATTCTTACTATTCTGAGTTTGTATCTTCAGAGTTGAGCACTTTTTGTAAGCTGCTTTGGATCAAATAAAGTGTAATGTAATCTCCAGACAGAAAGTGAAATAAAGGGTTATATCTGAGTCTGAATTTCTCTCAGCTGGTTCTCTGTCATGCCAGCCAACCTTTATTAAGAGTGACCTCCATGATGATACAGTCTTTGGGTCCAGGCCCAGGGCCCCTGTGGCCCTCAGCCTCTTCAAACGCTGAGAGGGGAGTGCCCCCCCCGCTGGTGTTGGAGGTGGAGTTGGGTGAGCTGGAGCGGCTGAGCAGGGTGGGGGTGGGGCAGGGCGTCAGGCTGGGGCTGCGCAGGCGGGTCCGGATGGTCAGGGTCACCACGCCCCTCTTCAGCTGCTGTGGACAAACATGAAGGAAGTTCAGTTTACATAAAAACATGTTTTGCTTTACCTTTGGATATAGCTTTGGACAAATTCAAAAATTATGTTGTGATCCAAAAAATCTACTAAAAGAGTGTTTTTTTTATTACTGATCGAGGAATTTGTACAAAACAGCTTCTTATTTCCAGTTGCTGCTACTTCATAAGATTCATAATAATAATGTAACAATGAATCAACAAATAATGTATTATGTATTTTATTGTTAAAAGATCCTACTTAATTAATCCCTTGGTTAAATTGTGTAGCCACATAATAACCTAATTCTCCTACAGCTGCAACATTCAAGTGAACACATTAATGATTAGTCATTAATTATAATTCAATAACTTCATATTAATCTAAAATGGGCTCTAGTGCAGACTGCAGAATGAGTCATCTTATTTTTTGAAATGTATATACATTTGGATGCTTGTATGTTTGTTATCTTTACAAAGTATTTCTATATTATGGTTTTGCAACAAACTTAAAGGTCTCCTATTATGCAAAATGCACTTTTTGATGTCTTTTACACATAAATATGTGTCCCTGGTGTGTCAGGGAACTCACAAAGTGTCCGAAAACAAAACCCTCTCTCTTTTCCTCCATACCCAAATCTCTAAAAACGGGGGAACAACGGAGCTGATCCAGATTTGCTGCCGATATGACGTTAACGGAAATGTGGGCTGGCTTTATGCCCACGGCCCTATCAGACACGTCGCTGTATCAGAAACAATGACCGACTGTTTTGGACGTAATATGGTTTTTGTTTAAATTAGAAAGCATTGCTAACACTCTGAGCTAACACTGCACTGGAGAGAGTATGTGTAAAAAAGCAGGAAATAAAAAGGTCCTCACTCACAAGAGAAAAAGCATTTGAGCTCCATACTGTTTCAGAAATAAGCTGAGTATCTTGGTAGAATTTTCTCTTCTGCATGAGCTCTTGTCTCGGCTCTGGTTTCTTTCTTTCCTTTTTTTTTTTTTTTAAAGCTAAGGAACCAGAATCAGCACTTTAGTAACAGGGCTGAAATAGAGGGCTATGAGGCATGCAATATGTATATTCTATACAGAGTGACCTTTCTCTTTAACCGTTAGTGTTCAGCTAACATGCAGTTCACTTAATCTCGACTCTGAAAGTCTTTTACCAGAACACTGACAAAACCTGTCTACCGACATTGACTCTTTTAGTAATTATAACACTGACAACAGGAAGCATTACAATAAGTATCACTATCATTTATTTATTTATTTATCCGACGAACCAAAACTCCATTAAAACAAAAGGACACGTCTTTATTAATGTAATATGCTTCACTGGGCTTTATTTGTTTGCCATTTTCGCATTAAGTAATGTCAGTGCACAAAAGGAAGCTAAGGAAAATCCAATGAAGCGATGCAAGAATATAAATAATCATTACAAACATATGTATAGGACTGCTTCAGATATCGAACTACGACGGTGCCATTGATGTAGGGAAACACAGTTGCAGAGTGCAGATTCCAATAAAGTCCAGCACAGACCACTGAGGAGAGTCTCTCAATAACAATGGCTCTGTCACAGTCAGCATTCCAGTGAGTGAGCCAGCAGAGACAGTAGCTGCAGGCTTTCATGACTGTCATTAAATACAACATCCTTTTACTGCTTTGACATGATAATATCCGCTTCAAGAAACTGGTACTGGCCTACTGCACTGTGCCTATTTCCTGCATCCAGGACATGGTTAAACCATGCACACGTTAACATGACTCCTCACTTCCTCACTGCAAGTAGGCGCCAGGTACCCCGTAAACTCAAACACGCCTGATGCTATGCGGGTTCAAAGTGGAACGAGTGTCCCATTGATATCACTGCAGTGGCAAATGAAGCAGTGACGACTGACAGCCACAAGAGTCTTTTGGGCCAGGTACCTCAAATAATACACCTATTATGTAGCCAAAAGGATGATTAAAGGAATATTCCAGCCCAAAATGACCACTTGTAAATCATTGAGTGACTGTGTGTTAAACAAGAAACATGTTTTTTGACTCTATAATATAATAATCTTTATCTAGTTTTAAACAATAGCTTTACCATTTCATCAAATGTGTCTGAGATTGTTTTACCTTGATCCCTGTTTTGGTAAGACCTGCTTCAGATTGTGCACAAAAGGTTGTTCAAGCTACACACACTCAAACACTGTGAGAGTGTGTGTGTTTGGTGAGTGTACAGGACCATGATAACACAGGCAATTGTATAATATATCTACCTGTAAATCTGATCAATTAGAATATGCATCATATTAGAGAAATGTCACCACTACCAGCAGGACGATCTCACTGTCACTTACCCACAATGCTTCATGTTCTGTGGTTTGTCCATGCGGATGGCCAGTTTGATCCTCAGGTCGCTGTCCGGACAGCCTTTAGACACCGTCATCTTGTGTAGCTCTGACTGCTTGGGACTGTTTGGAGTCGGGCGGAGCACAACCTGGAAACAGACAGATGATAGTAATGTTTATATGCTAAACAATATATAGTGTACAAAGGTTGCACCCAATGTAACAAGTAACAGATTGTCATCACTTACCTTCCCCAGCTCCTTATCCTCCAGAGCCAACACTCCTGTGCTCTCAGTGAACAGCTTCACCTTCACAGCAGGTAGCGGCTGCGTGGTGGTAAAGTCACCCTGGGTTCCCCAACTACACACACACACACACACACACACACACACACACACACACACTCTCTCTCGCACACACACTCTCTCTCTCTCACACACAGACTCTCTCT